GGATTTACCGGAACACTCTGCAGGCATGATAAGATCGGCGATGAAGACTATTCCTCTCACACCCACTGTAGCCAGATCAAGAGTCCTATCTAACATTCAAAACTACTCCCCATACGTACCTCCAAAGCCACCTAGGGCGTCCAACTCAAATTCTCCCACAAAATCCACCCGTCCCTCCTCTAACCCCATAAGTATTCCACCCCCCCCCTCCTGCTCATTTAGCCCACCTCCCCCCCCCTAACTCAGCACCAAGAAACCCTCCACCTCCACTCCCCCCTCGTCCACCACCCAACTCAGCCTGCCCCTCCCCTAACCCATCACCAAAAACCCATCCACCTCCCTGCCCCCCTCGTTCAACACCCAAAAGCCACCCACTTCTCCATCCTCCTCCCCCGCCTTCCCCTACCCCTCTTTTCTCTAAACACTAGGAGGCACAGGGTCTCTGCTTCGCAGCCACTGGCAGTCTAGTTAGAGGAGAGACCCGGCTGGGGCCCTGTCCACTCCACAGGTGGCTTCAGTTTAACTCTGAAGCCACCTGTGCCATTCCCTTAGTGATAACACAAAGAATACATTACAGAAAAACATCTGGAGTTAATCAGTCTAATCTGGAAAATCTAATTCTTGTTCCGTGTAAGAATCAGCCGACCGCAACGGCTGATACTGAAACTTTGAAACTTGCTACGCTTAATGTCAGATCTCTTTGTAACAAGTCTTTTTTAATCAATAATTTTATTTCTTCTCATAATCTTGATCTTATGTTCATGGCTGAAACTTGGCTTGACCAAAATTCAGAAAATGCAGTTTTAATAGAAGCATCACCACCAAATTTCAAGTTTGAATCTGAAATACGGGAAAACAAAAAAGGAGGAGGCTTAGCTGCCATTTTTAGTGACCACTTTGTCTCCCATAGAATGTCTCTTCGGAAGTTTTCGTCATTTGAATATGTGTCTTTTAAAATACAACAAAAACAATCTCCTCCAATACTCTTCGTTGTCCTATACAAGCCACCGCAGTCATGTCACAGTTTTATTGATCATTTTACCGAGTTGCTTTCAGTTGTATGCACAGATTTTGATAGTTTGGTTATTACAGGTGATTTTAATATTCATGTGGATAATGTTGATGACAGAAATGCAAATGAGCTGAGTTCTGTACTTGAATCCTTTGATCTCACTCAGCACGTAAGTGGCCCCACCCACAGCAGAGGGCACACTCTAGATCTGTTAGTTACAAAGGGGGTGATTATTTCAAATGTAAACGTGGTCGATGTTGCTCTTTCGGATCATTTCTGTGTTTTTTTTGACATGTGTTTCACTAACAAACCACCAGTGGACTCTGCAACTGTTCGAAGAAGGCGCATAAATGAAAATACGAGTGAACTATTTATGGAAATGATAAACTTTGAGAATGCATCGTATTCTACTGTAGATGAACTGTTTAACTCTGTCACCTCTAGTGTTTTGAATGTTCTGGATACCGTTGCCCCTGTGAAGGTTAAAATAGTGAAAAATAAGCAGAAGGCGCCGTGGGCTAAAGCAGACTCAGTCAGGGCACAAAAGAGAAAGTGCCGGAGGGCCGAGCGGAAGTGGCGCAAGTCCAACCTCCAGGTAGATTACGAGATCTTCAAAGATAAGTTGTGCGAGTTTAACCGGGTGCTACGTAGTACGAGAGAAAGGTATTTTTCTGAAATGATTGAAGGCTGCAGCAACAATCTGCGTGTTCTGTTCTCAACAGTTAATAGATTAACAAACCCCCCAGTTCAAATGCCATTAGAGCTTACTTCCAAACGTAAATGCAATGAGTTTGCTAATTTTTTCAATGACAAGGTTCAAGGCATCAAAAGCGCCATTGTCTCCAATCCACAGATAACCATCCAACAGCCAGAAAGGCTCTCTGAGCTAACTCACTTTGCACCTGTAAATGATAAAACTGTCCAAGAGATAATCTCCAGTTTGAGCTCCTCCACATGCAGCCTGGATGTACTACCCACTAGATTTCTGAAGTCTGTTCTGAGCAGTCTGTTACCTTCACTCACACAGATAGTAAACATGTCCCTTCATTCTGGAATATTCCCAAAGGCCCTGAAAACTGCAGTCATCAGGCCCCTGCTAAAAAAGAGCAGTCTGGATGCCACTGTACTTAACAACTATCGTCCCATCTCAAATCTGCCATTTATGGGGAAAGTCCTTGAGAAAGTTGTCTACCTACAGCTTACTAGATTTCTTATAATCAACAACTCATTTGATATGTTTCAGTCCGGCTTTAGACCCCACCACAGCACTGAGACTGCTCTCGTTAAGGTTACAAACGATATCCGGCTGAACACTGACGCAGGCAAAGTCTCAATCTTAATCTTGTTAGATCTAAGTGCTGCCTTTGACACCGTCGACCATGAGATCCTCTTACAGAGACTAGAGGACTGGGTTGGCGTCACTGGCACCGCCCTAAGTTGGTTTAGGTCTTACCTTGAAGACAGGAAGTACTTTGTGGAGATTGGAAACTGTGTCTCAGATCATATGGCCCTGACCTGTGGAGTCCCACAGGGGTCGATCCTGGGACCTCTTCTGTTCAATCTCTACATGCTGCCGTTAGGTCAGTTAATACGCAGAAACAAAGTTTCCTATCATAACTATGCAGACGACACTCAGATCTATGTCTCACTGACTGCAGGAGAACATGGACCAGTGGACTCACTCCTTCACTGTATCCAACAGATCAGTGAGTGGATGCAAAACAACTTCCTTCAGCTAAACGCAGACAAAACTGAAATGATTGTCTTTGGTCCCCAGAAACAAAGAGAGAGCGTCATCTGTCACCTACAGTCTCTCTCCCTAAAACCTTCAAACAAGGTCAGAAATCTAGGGGTAATACTGGACTCAGACTTAAATTTTAATAGCCACATCAAATCAGTAACATCAGCAGCTTTTTACCATCTAAAAAACATTGCCAGGATCAAAAACATAGTGTCTAAAGCAGACTTGGAGATTCTTATCCATGCATTTGTCTCCAGTAGGTTAGACTACTGCAATGGCCTGCTCACAGGTCTGTCCAAACAGGCTGTAAAACAGCTGCAGTACATTCAAAATGCAGCAGCTCGAGTCCTGACTAGAACCAGGAAGTACGACCACATTAGTCCTGACTAGAACCAGGAAGTACGACCACATTAGTCCTGACTAGAACCAGGAAGTACGACCATATTAGTCCAGTCCTCAGGTCTCTGCACTGGCTTCCTGTGGCTCAGAGAATAGACTTTAAAACAGCTTTGCTTGTGTACAAGTCTCTCCATGGCCTCGCACCAAACTATATTAGTGACATGTTAGTCCCATATGAACCAGCCCGGACTCTGAGGAGCACAGGGACTGGACTCCTGTTAGTGCCCAGAGTCAGAACTAAACATGGGGAGGCTGCTTTTCAGATTCATGCTGCTAAAATCTGGAACAGTCTTCCTGAAGATGTGAGACAGGCCTCCTCTCTGACAATGTTTAAAACCAGGTTAAAGACGGTTCTGTTTAACTGTGCATACAACTGAGGGATTTTATATTTTTATCTTTCTTTTTAATGTTCTGTGATAATTTATGATTTTAATGCTTTCTTGTTTTGTTCAGCACTTTGAATTGCCTTGTGTATGAATTGTGCTATATAAATAAACTTGCCTTGCCTTGCCTTGCCTTGATAATAGAATAGAATCCATTGAATTCAGCATCAAAAGAGTTGTTACACAGTGGCACCTCTCCTCTCCCTCTCTCTCGCTCCGACAGACACAGGGTAAATAGTATGGCATAGTTGAAGTACTGTATTTTAGTTTTGTTTTGGTTTTACATGGGCCTTGTACGTGTCTGAATGAAAGATTAATTAAGTTGAATGAATAGAGCTGTAGTTATAATCAGCTGTAGTTATAATCAGTAATAACCATTATTTTTGCCTCAGTTTTGTCTGTCAGAACACTCTTAATTGTGTTTGTATGGTCATGGCAAAAAGATTTGACCTGTCGCTCCAATATGGTTAAGCAGTTTGAACATAATTTGACCATGCCCGATGCTGTCTCCTTCACTGATGCGCAGCACTTCCTGGAAACACCATGATGCTACTTTGTATTATGTTGAGAGACAGATCGCTGTGTCCCCGAAGCCAACACCAAGGTTTAATTTGATCTATTATCCTGTGACTAATGACTACTTAAGAGCCAGGACAAAGTAACTCAAGTTTATCAAATCTGTTCTCTGTTTAGTCCTCTCCTGCAGAGATTTGACCTGTATGCTTTCTTATGGTACATGTTTTCTTTTTGTGCACTGGCATTTGGAATTGGAGAAAAAAAAACTGTTTAATAACAAGCAGTGGCTGTAATTGGTTAGACGAGTTGATCCGTAAATGTGATGGAGAGAAGGTTGGAGCTACATTTGTAGAGGAGAAGGACTAATACAGCGCAACCCGAATTACGCCACACCATCTCAGAGCAGTAACCGTAGCAACTGCTCCACACATTGTGCTGCCACTTGTCGTTTGATTATAAGTCTGACAATGTGACATTTATACACAGTGAAGTCAAAGGTCTGAACTGAGTCTGAGTACTTTGTTACTAGGGTTTAAAATATTTTGCCTTTTTATATGTGTCTTTGTGTGAATCTCTGCCACAGGGATCCATCCTTTGTTCCCTGACTATTCTCTGTATAAGCTTTGAAAACTGAACATTTTATAATTACAGTACTAAGTAGAACACGAAACAGTGACGGCCTTGGGTAGATATAACATGATTTAAAGATTTTTTTATGAACTTCTATTAAACTTCTTTCAACTTGAATAGACTGTTGTCTAATTTTCCTTTCCCCTTATAATCAAGTTCATGCTCGGAGTGAGTGACAGACTGATTTAACCAATCACGGAGAAGTGTGGACTTCGTAGACAGCCATATCATCGTGATTGATTGAATCATAATTGGAAGTGTCATTGTCTTAAGGAAAATGGTGATATATATACTTTTTATTATTCTTGCCTTGTTTCAGGAGTACCACGCTCAGCTGGAAGAGATGCGTGTGTCCGTGCGACAGCTGGAGGAGGACCTGTCCGCCGCTCGTCGCCGTAGCGACCTGTACGAGGCCGAGCTCAAAGACTCGCGGCACAACAGCGAGGAGCTGAAGAGGAAAGCTGCTGAGCTGCAGCACCGCATGCAAAAGGTCTGTAACAACAAGAGCCACTTCATGCACAACATTTGGGAGTGGAGCCAGCGAGTTCAGCTCCTGCTGTTCGGGACCAGAGGATGTTTCCAACTGTGGTTTGTTGCATTTGTTTTATGCATACAGTGAACGGTGAAACAACATGTAACAACTTTGTAAAAAGACTGTTTTATACTGAATACAAAGAGATATTCAGGGAGACAGGATCAGTCCTCTTCATAACTATGTGCCTTGTCTTTGTACAGTCACTCACTGACACAAACATTCAATAGAATCATTTGTACCAAAACATCAACATTGTTCTGCTGTCCCCAGGAGAACAACATGGCCACACGATAACAGTGAAACAGAAGACTATTAGAGGATTTACGATGTTTGAGGTCGGTTTAAGGCAGTAGTTTCTATGGTTGTGTGGAATATTGAGTGTTGTTCTGATTTTTCAGTCGTCATCCACCTTTACCTCTTGTTCTCTTTCAATCCAAACCACTTCCTCATTCATTCACTTTATGTGGCCTGAACTCTAAATATGTATTTTCAGGCCAAAGACCAAGGTAAGGCGGAGTCGGAAGAGGTGATTTCCAAGTTGGAGAAGGTACAACACCGCAATATAATCGCAAATAAAACAGTGTTCAGGTTCACCCTAACCTAACCCTAACCATGTTCTGCTCTCTTCTAGACCAGCACAGAGCAGCAGTCCAAAATCCAGGACCTCCAGGAGAAGCTGACCAAGGTACTCTGCTTTACTTGTGGGAGGATTTGAATAATTTATGATCACACTTTGTTAAATTCACCTGCAAAGCTGTAACCTCAATGACCTCCTGTTTTCATTTTAACAACCTGCTGTTACCATTTGCAACTTAATTAGACTTAATCCAGAGTTTTTCCCTGTTGAGAAGATAACATATTTTTTTTGAATTACTTTCTACTTCATTGTGCAGAGTGTACCAAAAGCTTTCCAGATCGTCGCAGATGACTAAGTCCCTTTTCGGATGAGCCTGAGTCACAGCTATGGCACAGGGAGTGATTTATTTTGGCAGATTCACAGATGATCAGATGTTATTGCTTATTCACAATCACATAACACCTGTGTGATCAGAAATGCACTCTACGGAAAAAGGGGCATTGACAACATTCTGTATGCATTTGATTTTTGCATTCAGATTTTAATGTGATCTTTAAGCGTTTGCGTGTAGATGCTGCTTCTGTATCTTTTTGCTTTAGTGCAGCAGTAAATCACTCACTTCCTCTGGTTTGTGAGCCTCAATGCTGTAAATGTAAATGTAGGAGTTTTACTAAATGACCTCACCTCTTTCACAAGCTAAAACTTCTTCTAAGACAATATCAATAGTTGTTATTAAATTCACTATCAGTCTATATTGTGCGTATGGCTCGATCTTCAGTCGTCAGTCTACAATCTGCTGTGTGACATGTAATAATCTCAGAACAGTTTGACAAGACCTTTCATTAGTTTAGAATATACTACTACACTGCAAAAACCATGAAAGTATCATTTCATAAATGCTTGAATTAAGCAATTTTTATTATCTTATTTTTTTAAATATTTTTCTTAAAGGTGTATATATACAGGTGACTTGTATATATACTGTATTCAACAGTCAACTTGGGTCACTCTGTGCAAAGTCTTCAGAAAGATTCCCTTCACAGTTTGAAAGTATCTGATGTTCACAGTAATTTCTTAAACTTGAACTAGGATAAAGTTTGTCTTGTTTTAAAGGAGACATTTCAAAATGTACAATTTTGTTACAGCATTGTTGCTAATATATGGAACTTCCGGTGTCTGTACATACATGTAGGTACAGTGCCTTGCGAAAGTATTCGGCCCCCTTGAACCTTTCAACATTTCGCCACATTTCAGGTTTCAAACATAAAGATATAAAAAATTTTGTCATGAATCAACAACAAGTGGGACACAATCGTGAAGTGGAACGAAATTTATTGGATAATTTAAACTTAAAAAAAACAAAAAAAAACTGAAAAGTGGGGCGTGCAATATTATTCGGCCCCTTTACTTTCAGTGCAGCAAACTCAGTCCAGAAGTTCAGTGAGGATCTTTGAATGATCCAATGTTGTCCTAAATGACTGATGATGATAAATAGAATGCACCTGTGTGTAATCAAGTCTCCGTATAAATGCACCTGCTCTTTGATAGTCTCAGGGTTCTGTTTAAAGCGCAGAGAGAACCATGAAGACAAAGGAACACACCAGGCAGGTCCGAGATACTGTTGTGGAGAAGTTTAAATCCGGATTTGGATACAAAAAGATTTCCCAAGCTTTAAACATCTCAAGGAGCACTGTGCAAGCAATTATATTGAAATGGAAGGAGTATCAGACCACTGCAAATCTACCAAGACCCGGCCGTCCCTCCAAACTTTCATCTCAAACAAGGAGAAGACTGATCAGAGATGCAGCCAAGAGGCCCATGATTACTCTGGATGAACTGCAGATAACTACAGCTGAGGTGGGAGAGTCTGTCCATAGGACAACAATCAGTCATGTACTGCACAAATCTGGCCTTTATGGAAGAGTGGCAAGAAGAAAGCCATTTCTCAAAGATATCCATAAAAAGTCTCATTTAAAGTTTGCCACAAGCCACCTGGGAGACACACCAAACATGTGGAAGAAGGTGCTCTGCTCAGATGAAACCAAAATCAAACTTTTTGGCCACAATGCAAAACTATATGTTTGGCGTAAAAGCAACACAGCTCATCACCCTGAACACACCATCCCCACTGTCAAACATGGTGGTGGCAGCATCATGCTTTGGGCCTGCTTTTCTTCAGCAGGGACAGGGAAGATGGCTAAAATTGATGGGAAGATGGATGGAGCCAAATACAGGACCATTCTGGAAGAAACCCTGTTGGAGTCTGCAAAAGGCCTGAGACTGGGATGGAGATTTATCTTCCAACAGGACAATGATCCAAAACATTAAGCCAAATCTACAATGGAATGGTTCACAAATAGACGTATCCAGGTGTTAGAATGGCCAAGTCAAAGTCCAGACTTGAATCCAATCGAGAATCTGTGGAAAGAGCTGAAGACTGCTGTTCACAAACGCTCTCCATCCAACCTCACTGAGCTCAAGCTGTTTTGCAAGGAAGAATGGGAAAGAATTCCAGTCTCTCGATGTGCAAAACTGATAGACACATACCCCAAGCGATTTGCAGCTGTAATTGCAGCAAAAGGTGGCGCTACAAAGTATTAGCGCAAGGGGCCGAATAATATTGCACGCTCCACTTTTCAGTTTTTTATTTGTTAAAAAAGTTTAAATTATCCAATAAATCTCGTTCCACTTCACGATTGTGTCCCACTTGTTGTTCTTGACAAAAAATATAATTTTTATATCTTTATGTTTGAAGCCTGAAATGTGGCGAAATGTTGAAAGGTTCAAGGGGGCCGAATACTTTCGCAAGGCACTGTATGTACCTAAAAGGTCCTGTCTCAAATGTACTCGAGATGTACTTGTACCACCATTTTACCACTGTTATCTGACTCTTAAAACAAAAGTATTGTCCCTAATTACAATTTGGCAACAATCAATGTTTTTTTTTTTTTCTGCGTTGTAATTATATTTAAATCAAATCATATGAACACATCAAAAACTCCTAAAGCGCAGGCGAGTTTTTCGACACAGTGTTTATTCACGAGTTTAAATCTCCTACATGTGATGCTTGACTCTGCCCCAGGCGTTGAAGGCGAGTGGGGAGGCCACAGAGCTGCTTCAGTCGGTGCGAGTGTCTAAAGAGCGGGTCGAGAGGGACATGGAGCGACTGCAGAACAAGGAGGACTCCAGCGACAGCCTCCGCCGCCGACTCAGGGAGACAGAGGTCTGACGGAAAACATTACATGGGGTCTAGAGGGGTCTCTGTGAATATGGATGAAGGAGTGTGATCGGAACTTCTTTCAACCACCATTCTAGGAGGAAATGGATTCAAGCAATGGATACTGTAGATGCATCGATAATTATTCATTATTATTACATTCCCTGAGATAATGAATGACTTCTGAGCAATTTTTAACACATTTAGATGGATAATACTTTTGAAATCTGTGCTACAAATGCAAGATTTTGTAAAAGCAGTATATAGGCACATTCATGAAAAGATATACAGTAGATATGCAGCGAAGGCACAGAAAGGTCTCTCATCAGTGTCAGAACAGGAAGTGATGAGCGGGACACTGCAGGGAAACGGTTTGTCTGCCGATGGTTCCAGGTTTTTTTATTTATTTAATTTATTTATTTAGAGGATAAGCCCCTTGAGATGAATCATCTCGTTTACGAGGGGGTCCTCAAGATTTTCACAAGGTGACAAAATAGATACAAATAAAACAAAAATACAAGAAAATAAATGTAAAAGAAAATAAAATAAAAATAAAAGGCAACCATAAAAAATACACATAAACCCTCAAGCACTCACACTCATACACACACACACAAACACACACACACACACACCCATTCATACACACACACACACACACACTCATACACACACACACACACACACGCGCGTGACTGTACTGTAGTTACACTAAATAAGGATAATATTATTAAGATTAATAGTATATTAGTAATAATAATAATAAGGAGACAGTAAAGACAAGATTAGGTCTCATAACCTCAGATCAAAAACATTGACATGAATTCTGGAGATATTGTATTAGAGCAGATTTAAACAGAGGCAGAGAAGTTAGAGCGAATAGACAACGGCAAACTGTTCCAGACGGAGCTTTAAATTCAAATGCATGTTTTCCAGCTTCTTTTTTCACTCTTGGAACTACAAAAAAACGATTGATTTGCATGACGCAAACTGTTCGAGGATTGGAAAGGAATCAGATATTGTTTTAAATATTCCGGAAAACTGAGATTAATACCTTTGAAAATAAACAATAGCCAATGTATCTGACGTCTGGAGGACAGAGAGAGCCACGACAGCTGCTCGTACATCAGGCAGTGATGGGTTCTGAACGGACAGTGGAGGATAAACCTACACAGACTGTTGTAAGAGACAGTCAGAGGCTGGAGAACAGAGGCAGAGGTGTTTTGATCAATTATATCACAGTAGTCAAGAATGGGGAGAATCAGTTGAGAAATGATCCTCTTCCTTACTGATAAACTAAAACAGTTAATTGAATGATAAAGTCATTTTAAACGTTGTTTAAATGTTGTTTGTAGTTGTATGTATATGAATATTAAATTACAGAGAAGGATCAAGCCATAAGCCGAGATATTTAAACCGATCTACAACTGGAACTGGAGAAATGTCTGAAAACACAAGATGAATTTCATTTGTAGAAACAGGACACACTCTCTTCTGGAATAGCAATTTTTTGATTTGTTTAGAAATATTTTTTTAGATTGTAGCCATAAATGAACTGGATTTAAGTCCTTTTGAATAGAGTGTTGGACATCAGTAACATTGGCTTTGGATGAATAGATTACTGTATCATCAGCATAAAGTTGGATAGGTTACACCAATGAGCAGCAGGCATGAGGTATAAACAAAACAAATGAGGACGCTGTGCAGCTGGTGTGGATCAAAGCAGTGCGCAGGGTCCCAGCATGGCCTGTCTATTCAGTCAGGAAGTGAAATGAGAAAAGAACCCAAAATGCAGGACTGAAAATAAAAGTGTACTTTAAAGGTGTTTAGGAAAGAACCACCCTCACCACTTTTTAGACAACTTTCTGGTCTTATTTGACAATCACGTATCACCAGAATGATTGACAATCGGGAGAACAAATAGTCTTGATGATCCATCCGGAAGTAGAAAATCCTCCTTTATACCTTTACTGAAAGAATACAAAATTCAGGGTAAAAACAAAACACAAAAATCTATCAATAGAACAAGCCAGGAACAAGTCGTGGGATACAGAATGAACGGACACTGTACACACACACAGGGAGACAGGTTCAATGTGTTAGGATGGAGAAGCAATCAATGGGACAGGAAATGGAACTCAAAACAGTTAACTAAATAACGTTCAGCATAAATAAAAATCCACAGCATGACACCTTTGTGATGTCTGTAATATCGGCTCACTGTGTGCTGTGGCCCTCTGCAGGATGGGAGGAAGACTTTGGAGAACCAGGTGAAGAGGCTGGAGATCGTGGAGCGTCGTGAGGCTAAACTCAAAGATGAGATCCAAACCAAAGGGCATCAGATCCAGCAGATGGCAGACAAGATCATGGTAACCACTGCTTTTCCTCAAACTCCCAAAGAAAGAACGATAATAGGTTAATAGGTGCTACTAGGTGCTAATAGGTGCTACCATTAACTTATTGAACAGGCCGTGTTGCAGTCTCTGAGTCTCACTTTAGAAGAGCCACAGAGATTTCATTGTTCTAGCTGTGGCCACCTGCTGTATCTTTAAGTGGCTGAACTGTTTCTTTCTACAAACCTCTGTTCTTGAGAGATTCCAACCTAAATTTGGCTGGTTTTCATCAACGTCCCTCTGCAACATGGCTCTTTTATGAGCTTGTCACTTTTCTGAAAATGACTTTTCTTGGTCAAGGCACAAATATAGCTTATCAAAAGCAAGTTTTGATGTTATTATTTAGTTTTTTTCAACATAATATGAATCCTGTAAATTTTTGCCTGATTTTCCAGAAAAATAAAATAAAAAATGAAACCACAAAAAAACAATTTAAATTCATTTCCATTCCCCCTCCCTTTCTGAAATCGTCTTGGTCACTTTAAGCTGATAACACATGGACCACAGACTTCTCAAGTACATCCGAATTCTTTCTGCTTCACTCACATTGTTCCACTTTGACACATTTGATAAATCCTGTTGTTTTGAAATAATTTTTATCTTGAACTTTCAACCTAATGCGATCAGCCTTTCGTGAAATCTGCCCAAGTAAATGATGTGAGTTGAATGTCTTCAGATGCAAATGTGCAGTGACTCAGGGTATTATGGCTCATTATCGCTGCATGTTCCATGTTGCTGACACACACAGAAGCAGATCCAAAAGTGTTTATTCCAGTCACATGGAGCGCCAGATGAAATGTCATTTTAGGATTGCTTCCAGAAAAGCAGTTTGGAAAGTTATCTCTAGATTATTCTTTCCGAATGTTATTAAAGAAGAAAAAAATGCTAATCCAAACCATGGAACAAGATTGTGATTCTAATTTGTATCGATCATTGTGGCATAACATTTACCAAAGTGGCTTTTTTGTTAAATATCACTTCACCAAACTTGGAGCTGGCCTTTCCATAAAAACACAAGGATGAACTGAAATGTTGTTATTTTAAGATAAGAGAGATAAGAGAACCTTTATTAGTCCTGCAGTGGGGAAATTTCCGTGTTGCAGCGCACATACACGACAGTAGTAAGAGCACACAAAATATACAATATAAGTGGCTGCTATGTTTCTTAGATAGCTGTAAATGCTTCAATATCAATATACCGAAACATCTCTATCTATCTATCTATATGTAGTGAAAATGTACATACATATAGGGGCAGGATAATAAGTAGATAAAGTGACATTCAGTGAATACTCTGAAATTGCAGTATTGCACATCGCACTTACTACTCACATGGTCCTGAAAGTCAAAGATTAAAAGTGAGGAAAACAATATCTCCTCTTCTTCATCACTTCCAATGACCCCACACAGCAGCAGACCCCTCTGGAGCACACTCTCTCTTCAGAGTCGTCCAGAGGGAAAGTCAGCCTGAGCAGCTGTCATAAGAGCGTGTTTTTCTCTTATCGGCCTGTGCGTCTATAAATAAAGCTTTTGTGTTTGATGCCTGTGTAGGAGCTGGAGGAAAACCTGAGGGAGACGCAGTCCACGGCGCAGAGACTCGAGACCCACCTGAAGCAGAAGGAGAAGCTCTATGAAGACAGGATAAAGGTGCTATACATAAACACAAGGACATGCCACTGTAAGCGCTCGGCCTGCTCTCATGACTCCCCGATCTCATCTGCATAGGGCACTGTCCGGTTTCCGAAATGTGCTAAAAATAGCTCCGATGACTGCGTATGTTTCGGACAAACTCTGTCCGACTCCGTTGAGTACTACTGTGTTCTCCACATACGCGTGTGTATTTATTTGGGCTAAATCATTGAATCATGGTGACAACAAAACGCTGCAGTTATGGTGCTTGTGGGAGCGATTTCAGATACTCTGAAAAGGACTATGAAAGTAACATTCAACCCGTTCGTTAAACCACACCATCGGACCAGACCAGGACCAGACCAGGACCAGATCAGACCAGGACCAGACCAGGACAAGTGCAAGAGGTGGGTGCTTGTGGTCGGCAGAATTTCTCTCATGAAAAGGTTAAAAAGGACACATGTTTTTTCAAAACACTTTAGCTGGGACTGGATCTGGACCGTCTGGACTTTCTCTTTATACCATTTACCCCATCAATCCATATTAGTATTGTTTGTCCTAATCCAGAATGCATACAATTCTCACACCTTTTTTTCAACTTCGTGACTATCGGAAAATAAGCACAGACGAAGCGCATCGGGGTCCGCTTATTATACTGTTTTATACCAACCGAACACACAAAATAAACTTAAGTCACTTTTATTAATGCCGAAAGGTTTATTTAATGAGTGCAAAGAAAATAGTTTCCAAAGGTTTTCCCGTGGCAGGCGAGTAACAGTGAGGCTGGCTAACCTACTTTAAAAAAGCGATCACTTTAGTCGCATTAAAAAAGTATTTTTGTCATGAAAACCATAACAGATCATTCTGAAAACCTCCGTACACGTGTGTTACGAATGTATGTATAATATATTCTCTGATTAACATTTAAATGTGTCGATTGATTGTCATTTGCGTTTATTGAGTGTGACTCTGATAGTTTCAGAGACAGTGGCGTAGCTCGTTGTGACCCCATGGATCTATTATAATATCTGCTGACAGTAGCTAACTAATGATCAAACTAATTACAAAGTCGACAGTACAAAAAAAAACTTGATAAATGGAAGTTAATCACAGCAAAATAAACAAAGAAGGCGCTAGCATTGCAATTTATATGACTAGATATAGTTTGCATAATCCTCACCATTACCTTTTTATCAATTAAAACTTTCTACCAGTTACTGGAAGACCACGACATTCAAGCCAACGTTTTAATTTGTCTACACTATGATCCCTGATGGTTTGATGGTGGAATTTTGCCCCTGGTTTATCATTTTCATCTAAAGTGACAAGCGGTTTTTAAATCATTTCGGCAGTGTTTGTCCGAAATATGTGGGCGGGAGTTGACAGGCGGTGGGGGCGTGTCTTAGTGACGTCATTCAGATAGTTTGCTATTTAAACAGGAAATGAAGGACATAAACAAAAACGTCAACCTGTCTCTTTTAGACACGTTGACAATGTTTATGTTTACATGCAGTGACTTTACGCATGCACAGTAGACCTGGAGGGAAGACTTTTGTAGGGACTCACTCAAATCTTGGCATTTGGTCCCGGGCGACGAAATACCAATATTTTTAGACAATACAGATTTATCTGAGAGAGTAAATGCTGTTTGATTTTGGATACACTGTCCACTGTGACGATCAAAGCAAACTAGACAGCTATCAGGAAATTAGACTGCCTTTAAGGAGGCTCAGAACAGGGCCTTTCTGTGTGGAGTTTGCATGTTCTCCCCGTGGCTTTATAAGTTTCCTCTGAGTGCTCTGATTTCCCCTACCACTAACGACATGTACAATAACTCCCCCTCTTAAAAAAGAAATTCTCAAATATCAGTGGGAGTTTCTTGGTTAACTAAAGGTCAAGAACAAGGCTAAAAATAAAGTGCTACTAAGATCAAGAATGAACAAAAGGGCACTTCATTGAGACCAAGACAATGTCATCATGATTATTTCTGCGAAGATGTAGTTGTTTTTTACATCACATACCTCCAGTGAAGTGGTCAGACAAAAGTCGATGTGATTTTGGCTCAAAGTTTATTTATTTTTCAAAGCACAGGTCCAGGAAAGAAAAAAGATTATAATATACTGTAGATTGGGCAGCACAATGGGCGGCTTCTCAGCAAGAAAGTCCTGGGTTTTAATCTCTTTAGGAACCGTGCCTTAATGAGTGGCGTTAGCAGGTTCTGTCCGTATCTGCATAGATTTCCTCCGGGTGCTCCAGGTTCCTACTGGGTGCTACCCCTACTATGTCGACCACAACAGAGGCCCGAGTGGCATTGCAGTATGGGTCAAATGCACATTTCACGACAGAGGCAATAAAGTACAGATTAACTTAACTTAAATTCCCTCTTAATATTATGTATTTTGTTTCTCTTTCACAAACATTTAAAACAAAAAAACTTAAACTGTTTACTTTATTCTGGCTTTGATTGTTGCCCTGCACTTTGCCTTGCATTTTGGACTTCCTACTACGGGTTCATTTCACACCTTTCTGTCCAGTGTGGTAATTGAGGCCCTGGTGCTTGTGCAGGTGCTGGAGAGCCAGATGAAGGCGGACATGGCCGACAAAGAAATGCTGGAGTCCAGTCAGAGCAGATATGAGGAGGAGGTGCGCGAGAAGTGCAGCGTCATCAGCGAACAGAAGGCGGTAAGAGCCCGGCAGCTTGGCAATGACACACTTTCAAATTCAACGTTTATCACACTGACATACATTCCCCTAATAAGACTCTGAACGCCAACTGCAGATGAATCCCAGGGCAAATGAGCACTATATGTTGCCTAATACTAAAAGAGGAGACTGAGACTAAAAGAGGAGACTGAGGCCAGCGCTGGGGCCTTCTGTGGGTAAACAAAACCTAATACAGCAGTTGATTCAGCGTTGAAACAGATGAGAAGCAACAAGAGTCAGAAGAGTTTGCTGATGACAGTGGTAACAACATATGATAAACTGCTGTATATGTCATTCATGTCAAACTCAGGCTCGTGGGCCAAATTCGGCCCGCTAGACATTTCTCAGTGGTCCCTAAAATGAATTTCAATTATTATTATTAACTTGCAGCATTAATGTTTATGGGCAACCAAGGCATGTCAAACATAATCTATTTTATCAGGAAAACAACCGCATTTTATTTATTCTAAAATTTTAACCCAACACATCATTAGACGTTAAATGTGTCCTGCTGAATATGGTAACAGTCAAAAGTCAAATTTCTAAGCTTAGTTTAGAACACATTTTTCGGTGCATCCTCCAGGAAACAGAAACTGTCACAAAGATCTTCTTTGTCAGTTTGTATCAACTATGGTCTAATTTTTTTCTCTTTAAGGGATGTGTAGAAGTGGTGAGAATATTCAAAAACATAGGCATGATGTTGACCATACTTTTAGAAATAAGAATAATATGGCGGCTTTGTGAATCTAATCATTATCAAAGAAATGATCTGAGAAACACATTTTCTTTGACACTTGCTTCATTTCCATAGAGTTGGATCTGCCCAACAACCAAAATACAATAAATAAAACTGATGATAATAATAATACTGCGGTGGTGGCTCAACAATTTGTGTTTTTCAAATTTAAGATAGCGTTGTTTATATGCGGACAAAAGTGATTTTATACATCTAGTCTGGGGCCAGGACTCCCCTGAAAAAGAGATTCTGAAATCTCAGATCAATAAATAGATTTATATATTGGCATATGGTATATTGCTGACCAATATATCGTTATCGTGATATAATTGTAATCGTGAGCTTTGTATCGGGTATCATATCGTATCGTATCGTGTCGTGAGGTACCCTTAGGTTCCCACCCCTACTAGGATATTTGGAATGTTTTACTTTATCTATTATATCACAATTCAGTTTGTTTTTGGAGTCGAGTATACTCTTTTTAATATTTTTTGCTCAGGGTTGGTGTGAATTCTCTTAATTGTGAACTGCCAAGTCCACCTCAGGTACATAATTCTCAAGATGATAGGTGATATATATGTGCTATAAATATGAATATGTATCACCCCTGTGTGTGGAGCGAAGGGAAATGACACATTTGCAAAGTTCTTTGTGTGACCTTGGTCTGTGAAGCACACTGTATTACAGTAAATAAAAATGATTTACTCACTTACTTTGTCCATTTCACTTAGACCATTAACGCTATGGACTCCAAGATGAACAGTCTGGAGCAGAGGATTGCTGAACTGACCGAGGCAAACAAACTGGCCGCCAACAGCAGCATATACACTCAGAAAAACATGTAAGTCAAGCTTTTTCTCTTCTTTTCTTATGCACTTATCACTGATTACCTACCACCCTACCATCAGTGTGAACGGTTGGAGTCAAGGTTATTGTTAAACCTTCAATTTCATACCATTTACTGTCGAACTCAAAAAGTGCACTACTCATCAGCAAAGTGAGCCCTGTATCAGCACTTTGTTGTCACGACGATTATTGGGACAAACCAGAATTTAAGATGTACAATTGAGCTGCAAAAAGTTAGAATTATTTAAATCATAATTTAAAATGCTTCGTGACGATCCACATGTGCAACATAAAACATAACATTACTACATAAAAGACAAAAGCAGAGACTGTTTTTGTGAAGGTCAGTTTCCTTGAGATAAATGATAGATTAAACACCAGGGGCCTGTTTATCTGGCGGCCCTCGTCCCACACAGTGTCAGAACACATCAGGCCTCATTTGGACGTGTTTGTGTTGTCAGGAAAGCCCAGGAGGAGATGATCTCAGAGCTCCGGCAGCAGAAGTTTTACCTGGAGTCTCAGGCCGGGAAACTGGAGGCTCAAAACGCCAAACTAGAAGAACATCTGGAGAAGCTGAGTCAACAGGAGCAGAGCAACAAGAGCCGCATGCTGGAGCAGGAGACGCGGCTCAGAGAGGTGGGCTCCTCTTTGACCTCCTTAAGTTGGTCACATAATGCATTTCTATTGCATTTTCATTGAGGGCTATAAAAGGAGTTGATAATTGAAATACTGTATACACAATTGTTTTTCACTATCACATCTGACTCGGTGTCCCATCCAAATCTCCACTCATGCACCAGGGCAGGGGTGGGCCAGGGGTGGGGTTTTTCTTCGGATATCACTTTATTGTGAAGGGCCGGACCCAATTTCACGTGGGTAGTTTTGTTTTTGAAACATAAAAAAAAAATATATATATATCACAAATACACATAATTTTTTTGAGTGGGCTTTTTATCACTGTTTTTATTACCACTATTATTCATACCAAGAACATTTTGGATTCATTAATGAGAACAGAATACATCTATGCACATATTAATACAAGCCTTCACTGAGTATTGACTTAATTTAAACAAGTAACAGATCGGTATGAGGTTCACAACTGGGAAGCCGCACTTTCCCAGGTCTGCACTAGGGCTTCCGTCTTTGACTAACTGGTCGATGATCACTTGAGCTCCTTGCGTAACTTGTATTTGTTATGTGCACAGAACGGACTGGAGCACGAGGAGCAGAAGTTGGAGCTGAAGCGGCAGGTGACAGACCTGACCCTGTCCCTCCAGGAGAGAGAGGGCCAGGTCACATCGCTCCAGACCGCACGCCACTCACTGGAGGGGCAGCTGCAGCACGCCAAGACCGAGCTGGAGGAGACCACCGCGGAGGCCGAGGAGGAGATCACGGTGCTCAGGGTGGGACTGGATCTAACTCCGTCCTTCATCACAACATTTTTGATTTTGCGCCAAGATCCCTGTTTTATCACGTTAAGAAAAACACATATAATAAAAATGCGTCAGTCTGTAACATGGGGGTGAACTTTCATTGAAAATTAAACTACTCTAGCTCACTAACCGTTTTTGTCACACTCCCCATTTTGGGCTTAAAATTCCATGGTTGAGCGCTCTCTAGCGATCCTGGTGTTAATATTATGAGACTGTCTTTGTAAATCCAGATATGAACCTTAAGGATTGATAAACCAGATGCCCTCATTCACAGGGGAATCTCCAGCTTGCCTTAGCAACCATCTTAGCAATTTGTCTGAAGCTAACCCCTGCAGGACAAATGCCCATATAAGGAAAATGGCTTCTTGCTAGCTTATGTTCAAATCGGCGCATTCCGCATTTCGGCAAACACTCAATCCACTCCTAATATAAGCTCTATGGAAGTTTTAAATCCAAATCCAAATTACTCAAACACTCATGAATCACTCATGAAATGTTGAAAAAGGTCTGACTGGATCTGTTTTGTTTGGCTGCTGTAGGCGCACAGAGACGAGATCCAACGCAAGTACGATGCCCTGAGGGACAGTTGTGCGGTAAGTTTGCTTCTTCAAATAAAAATACTGACTTTTAAAATCTCACAAAAATAGAACATGCTTGCCTCTGCATTAATTGACCATAAATTAATGGCAATAATGAATTCAGTGCTTCCCAGAGACTTCCCCACTGAATGCAAATGATTTCTTGTGCTCAATTTTAAAGCTGCCACCGGCTCTTCTCTGTACGGGGAGTTTTTTTGCTTTGCTGGGACAAATATGCAACTAAACAATTAAATACATTTTTGTCCAGCCCTAAATCACACCAGCAGTTGTTTCAGAGGACTTTACAAAGTTGCCAATTCACCAACAACAGATCAGAGAATCAAACACAATAGATGCAATAATAACAAACACATAGAGGCCATTGGTCCATAGGGAGCGGGATAATCATTTAAGTCTTTATGTATAATTAGAATTTCTCAGAAGCTAAGCAGGGCAGTGCCTGGTTAGTACTGTGATGGGAGATAGTAGGGGTTGATGGCACATATAAGTAGTCTTGCTTCCATCAGTCTGCCCCAGGGCGGCTTTGGCTATATAACCTCAACCGTGTGTGGGCCGTGTCCAGAAAAGTGCTACATAAAACAATTCAGTGATTTATAATACGTGCAGTGCAGTGAATGGGTCATAATCTTCATCATGTGTTTTCTCCCATCAATAGGCTATTGTTTATTTTCTAAATTATTTTAATTATTATTATATGGACGAGTGTAGACAATCAACATGTATGCATAACTAAGGCAAATTTACCACACCAGATGTAGTGCAATTCAAACACACGTGATTGCACAAATTACTGTTGTCACTCTTCACACTTCTGCTGCTGCTCATTTCACAGCTGTTCTCAACAAAAAGATCACAGTCGGGTCCTCAGTGAATGGATATCTCTCCTCAGACTCGCCATCGCTTTCCTCTCAGTATTTCTGTCGTGAACACAAACAAATCCGAGTGCCACAATTATCAACAGCGACCCTGCTGGGACAGACTGCCGAGGCCTCAGTCTCCCATCTCTATCACAAAATAGCTTCACTCCTTCCAAGACTATTATAATGTTTGTAATCACTTTTCCAGACGTCAGTTAAAGTGTTTGGAAATAATCCTGGGAAAAAAGTGAAGCTCAACTTTCGGTCAACTTAAGAAATAAAAAAAAATCTGTGATATTCAGGTTTCTATGGAAGCCCGTTTCCGCCATGTAAAAAAAAAAAAAAGCCTACAGAAAGTCAAAATTTTGACTTTAAAACTCAAAATTTTGACTTTAAAACTCAAAATTTTGACTTTAAAACTCAAAATTTCGACTTAAAAACTCAAAATTTCAACTTTAAAAGTCAAAATTTCGACTTTAAAAGTCAAAATTTCGACTTTAAAAGTCAAAATTACGACTTTAAAAGTCAAAATTACGACTTTTAAAAGTCAAAATTACGAGTTTTAAACTGCGCATGTGCAGTTGAAAACTCGTATGTGTTGTTGTCTGGAACGGTCTCTGGTCATCCCTGTTATAGATCCATGACCATGGGTCATCCTCTACCTGCAGATTATGTGAAGATTTTTCCTACAGACAGTGACCACATCCATGAAGTAGCAGCAATAATGTTGTGGTAGTAATCGCGTTAAAATGCAAACGGTCTTTCCGATTATGATTAGAATCCGCTTCAGAAGCCTCTATTTAGTTTATCCTAAACGGACTGTGGAAGATTAATAATAAAACACATGTGGCTGTTCAAAGTCATTGAGCATCAACTGGTGACATCGGGTCAGTATCACGGCTATCGATGGATGCACCAGAAATGCACTGAATGATATTGTGACTGACAGAGACCGTTCACGATTACAGGACAGTGAGGCAGGTCCACAGACAGAGGCAGGAGAACCACAGACAGAGGCAGGAGAACCACAGACAGAGGCAGGAGAACCACAGACAGAGGCAGGAGAACCACAGACAGAGGCAGGAGAACCACAGTCACGGGCACTGACAATATTACCCTTTTGGAATTGCGATCAGTGCATTGAAGAGTATGTGACGTGTTTGCGTGCACGCGGGGGTGAGCTGATGGCGTATGAGCAAGAACACAGAGACCAACAGGGAATAAGTGCCTTGTCTGATTGCCCACGACTCTTTAAGCAACAATCCGGAGAAATAACTCCGCAGATAACAGTGAGGGTCTTTGAAAAGGGAGTTAAACCCATTATAGATGCATGAATAAAACCCCGTACTCAACACGTAGAAAGCACATCCTTTCAGTTGTGGAAATACTCGCTCCGTGTGGACCCCTCTCAGCGCCATCGTCTGGTCAGAATGGTCTACAGCAGATTGGATTGGAATGTCTCGATGGCTCATTTTCCTTTGATTTATTATAAAAACGTATTGCTCACATTATTTGTTACTATGTCGAAATAAGAAGTCGTTTGATTTAAATGTTGTATATATGTAAATTGAATTTAACATAAATAAATAAAAAGACAGCTCCTCCCTGCGTCCTACGACCGCGGTCTGGGGCTTAAACAGGAAAGTTTTACAGAATCAATCAAACAACATTATTTCTGGCTACTTCAAGGATGCAGTGGTTACTGTCGGCAATATCTTCACATAATCTGCAGGTGAAGGACGTCCAGAGACCGTTCCAGACAACAACACATACGAGTTTTCAACTGCACATGCGCAGTTGAAAACTCGTAATTTTGACTTTTAAAGTCGAAATTTTGACTTTTAAAGTCAAAATTTTGACTTTTAAAAGTCGTAATTTTGAGTTTTAAACTCAAAATTTTGACTTTCTGTTTGCTTTTTTTTTTTTTTTACATGGCGGAAACGGGCTTCCATAGGTTTCTCTTAGTGCATTACAACATATCAATCAACAATCATCCATAACAATGAAGTTGTTTAGCTCAGTTCATACTAAATGCAGCTCAAAGTGCTTCACTTGGACAACATTTTAAAGCAAGAATGACCAAATTAAATTACTGTAATCAAAAATACATCACATGGGGTTATTATACAAGATAAACATACAATTATCTCCTAATCATTCAAATAAATGAGTTCTGTGAAACTGGAGTGAGATAAAAGAGCTGCAAGCAATTTATTGAAACAATCTGAAAAGGTCTGTTTACCTGCAAACGTTAAGACCAATGTGTTGAAATCACGCACTGACAACATTTACAAATAGTAGCTTGAAACATCCTACCACTCTGCTTTTTACAGTAAATATCAAGGTTGTTTTTGATGAAATATGGCATTCTATCGGCACTCCCACTCACAAACTGTTGGTGCATGTGCGGCCTCTGTGTACTGTTATCACCTGCAGAAAAATCAAACCTGCCAAGATCCAAGCCGAAGCTCAGTGTTATTCTGACATATTGTGACTGGTGGTGCTGTAGTCCAAAGTCTACAGATGCCATCGACCGATTAATCGACTGAACAATCAAGGACTGAAAGCCAGAGTGACTGGTTTGTATTGAGACCGGCTTCTTGGTTAGATGACTCCAGACTGAGGAGGGATTTATAAACAAGTATAACGGTTTTAAAGTCAATCAGGTCTTGACATTAGTCACACATGCAACCCTATTATACTGTACAAGTACAAGCTTCTTTGGCAGATATTTTTGAAAGAGCCAATGTTTTAACTTTCTCTGTTAGCCAAAGGGTAGGGCTGTTTGTGTATTATATCAATCTAAATCAGAAATGGCCTTTTTGAGAGAATAAATCAAATAATCTGTCATTAAACCACTTGTGCCATAAAACACATGTGTTTTAAGTGTTTTGGAGTCTTTCATTCAACAGCTAACGTTATGTACAGTAGTTATAGGCTGCGGTTTAATGAGACAAAATGGTGTTACATCAGCGTAAAAATGTCTTAAAGTAATAATATAATCTGGTCCATAGTCTCCATTTCTACTCTGCCCAGGCATTAATTCCCTTGACACTTTGTCGTGAGTGACTTGCTTTGAGTGTTGGTTTTAGTGTTGGTTTTAGTTTTGAGTGGTTCTATAGATCACTCTGACAGATGATTGCAGTGAGCCTCACTCGCTCAGAGGCTCATGTCTGTCAGCTCTGCCCCGGGAAGTGCACAAGGCACTGGAGGATTTACAGTATTTACTAAAGCGACAACACCATTTCCTGACAGCAGCGTATTTACAGAGAGTATTTACAGTCCATGGTACAGCTCTGTCCTCTGGCGACCACTAGAGGGCCTGAAAGCAGAGCGCTATGTCAGCTGTACTGTAATATATATATATATATATATATATATATATATATATATATATATATATATATATATATATATATATATATATATATATATATGTATATATTAGGGCTGTACAAAAAGATTAAAATGTTGTTGTTGATTAATCACATCTTTAACATTCTATTTCAAATCCACTCCAATTGAAGTTAAATGAGATTATCAAATGTAATGACACATTGTCATTCAAACCAAATGTACGTAAATCTGTTTGATTTTCTCACATCCTTTTGCTTTTGGGTACAACCAAAATTAGCTGTTAATGAAAGGGGAAAATGTACGTACCCCAGCTTTAATTTAGCGAGTTTAGTTTAGTTTTCAGGAGACACAGTATTTGCGTGCACTGGTTACGCACAGGTTGCAAAGACATGAACACAACATGCAGAGAATGTGGCGGGTAAAGTCTTATATGACCACATTACCGCGACGCCGATCACCATGTTGTTGTGAGCGGCCGCAGTGTGCCCGGGAAGGCGGACTTCAGTTCATAGACTGTAGCCCCGCGGTCACGCGCGTAAACCTCTTAACATAACACCCGCCCGCCGGCGGGTGATTTTTATTTGTCTGTTGCACTGACCCATATGTGACTTAGTGACAGAGCAACTTATAATTACATCACAAGATTGTTGAAACTTGGTGACTCAGGTTAGAATTGTTGGCCTGATAAAAAATTGATACACGTCGGATCAAATACAATAAAAACTATTACAGATCAACAGTGTACATTAATCAATAATAACCCAAGGAACGAGGATGTGA